CTTGTCATTAACTTGTCGTTTTAAATAGAGCTGATAACATCAATACAGGACAACCACGTACTTGCATAATGTCTCATCAGTTGAAATGAGACTAAATGTCGAAGTATTTTATTATACAACTAAATATTTCATTTGGTATGTCAAGGTAAGATTGACATCAATTTTACATAAACAAATTAAAAAGCAGCTTAATACACTTTTTGAAATTTTCTTCAACATTTAATTAAATGCCTCACCTGTATGTACTATTATTTAATAAGAAATATTAACATTGTGTTCTTCTTTGAAATGTTATAAATCCATTTACCCCTATGACTTAATAAACTTTTCACTTATGCATCGCATGCCAAGATGAATAAAAAACACCTAAAATTACATAAGCAGTTAAACAACATTTGCATGTCAGAACTAATAAAATCATTTTAATCTATGTCTTTATGCCATGAATTGACTGTTATAGTTATCATAGCATTCGTCACTGTTACACTCTAGAATAGCGAAGACTTGTGCTTTTAGATTTTAACAAAGTAAAGACCATGCCTTGCGTAGACAATAGATAAAAAATCCAAGTAAAAAAAGCCCAAACTCTTTGATTTGAGCCAATTTCTGGTCACATTGGTGCAAAAACAAATCCATTGCTTTGTCCGGGCAGTGCTGGAATGGTCGAAAGGGAATCCCTGGCTCATTTCCCCTGGTATGGAATTCCACTAGCATTTTCCCAACGAAGAGTCTTTTGTAGCTATTACATAATATACGAATAAAACAAGAATGAATTTTATTCAAGACTTGTACATGGTACATCATCTTACAATTTGTACAATTTAGAAATACTATACAATAGTCACATGACATAATTTTTGAATATGAATGTTGCTATAAACCGTAGCTTACTTACTGTTAACAAAGAAAATATAGATAGAGAATACAACATAATATATTCGGCTTACTTTTTACATAGAGGATTAACCATTCATTATTACATATTATAAGACATGGATGTTCTATTAGCCATAGCATCTCTGATATAGTAAGCTAAGTTACACAATATTTTCTTATGATTACAATTTAACAATTCAACAAAATTGAATATACTTGATCTAACATAGTAGTTTCTCTTAACATCTTTTTTACGAATTTCAAAAAACAGGTTTATACTTATATAAAATGGTACTCATATTCGATTTTACGAAGGTAACAATATATACAAAATATTATCGTTCATTTCTAGGAAATCTGTTTATACCATAACACCCGTTTTGTATCAGTAATTTAAATGGAGCTGTTCGTTTCAAGTGTGTTTGTGAAGTTACATTGCTGAAAAACATTTGTTTGTTTTGCAAGATCGAAATATATTTCATAGAGTGAACATCAGACGTAATATATTTTCATAAGTCAAAATTACCAATATATAATTTTACGGTGAAAATATCAAAATAGACTTTCACTGTCTTCTTACAAGCATGTAAAAAAGAGATGTTATTTTCTAATTCAAGTGTATTTAAGAAAAAAATACTTTTCTAAGTCACTCATAAGAAATTAATATTGGGTGTTTTAAGGGAAATACTACATACTATAAGCCACTGTCTCTTAAAATACAAATGTAGAAGTGTCACAGGAAGATTTGTGAGAGATTATTTTACCTACTAATTAGGCATCATTTAATTATAGACACACACAGGGTATAATTACTTGTAATTTTGATGTTCTTTCTCACGTATACAAACACGGGTTACGGCACCTAATGTGTCTATCAAGTTCGCCCGATTGAACTTGTAAGAGGATTATTTTTACTCATGTCTATTATCATTACCTTTTTTACTGTAATACATTTTGTTATGTTTTACAACCGTATCTAGGCGTTCGCTGATTATGTAGTAACATTTGACTACAAGTTACGGTATCCACCACTCAACCCATTAATCGTGGGGTCGAGCCCTACTCGCATCACGACCTCGTTTCCTCTTATGACACCATTACTAATCAGTTCAATGAAGCGACCAGAAAATAATTAATTTAAGTCAAAAGAACTAATTTTGTATGATTTTGGAATATATGAAAATAAAACTATACTAACAGCTAGACTTAAGTAAACTAGACTAAACAAAACTAAACTAGACTTAATTGAACTAAACTAAACAAAACAATCTAAACTAAACTTAGCTAAACTAGACTTATATTAGTATAATGTCAGGAAATGACTGTGAACTAACAATTGACCTTATCAGTTTTTAATCTTAGGATTCGTCGATTCCGTTTTGATTAAACATGAAATAACGTGATAATATACATAATTATATTATGTAAAGCAGTGAAATAAAATCCATATTACTCTCAGTGTATCACACAGTGTAGATGTTTAAGCTTTGAAAACTTCTTCATTGCGTACGTATTAATTTGCATGTCCCCGTAGGTTAGTGTATCTACATTTATAGCATTTTGTTCTTAATGGCATATTACTTAATTACGTTATAGTTTAAACTGTACGCCTCAATGGCTTAAATTGAAATATCTCTGACCTTACAACATTGTAACAATAAAAAGAAACAAACAAAAACTATATTATGCTTTGATTGATGCTTCCGTGGGATCACCTTTTCTCCATATCTTTTAGATAAAATGCTTACGAAAATGAAAGCAAATTAATAAAGATTTTACATATAAGTTTTTTTTATTATAGAAACATATGAAAGATGTGTAAAAGAGAATCTGTAATTTAAATCTCAATTTTCTTAATATCTTTTTCTAATAACTTCATTATTCATAGACACATTAAAATTGTTATCATAAAAAGAATTAATGATACTTATATTTAATACATGTACACGTTTTAATATTTAAATTTATGTTAAGCAATAAAACTAATATTTCTTTTCTTACCGAATTCATAACACGGCTACATAAAAGGAGACTTGTTGATATTCATAACACATATACTAATATACAATTTTACTTTTTCTTATGTGTCCCAAATTTATAGACTTATCTTCTTAAATGGGTGATTTGAATGAAATTGATATGTTGATGTCAAATATACGTAGATCGAGTTGTCAAAAAATAAATGTAAGATGTAACACTAACCCGGTTAGTGAAAAGCTAGTTCACCACCGAGAGTGGTTTAGGCCCTTACTTATGGGATACTTTCCTATATGTTAATTTACAACCTTTGGTTCATGCCTATTGTAATTCTTATTATGAGTATAATGACGTCATTACATTACTAAGACTGAATTAGCTTTTGACCATAAAATGCACATACCACATTGCAAGATATATCCTAAAGAAATCAGTCATGAAGTTGGGTTGGATTTTTTTTAAGTAAATAGGTTTCCAAATTCTCCTTGCCTAAGTAGTTTATTCTTGTTTTAGAATTTTTACCCGATGTTTAAACAATATGTTATTCAGACATTATAAGAGGTTTACTTACTTTTCAAGAACATTAAGTACGTTCATATCACATTTTCATAGAAATATTAATTAAAATTTTACACGCAAGGAAATGAATAAATTATGTTGACATTGACATTCGTAGGATAAAATGTCAAGCCACAAAAAAGTAATAAAAACAGTTTATAACATTTTGATAACTTGTAAATGTACATCGTCTTTTATATAACAATACTTTTATAACAGATCATTGGCACGGTAAGTCTTGTAAAACAATACAGATTTGTGAGTTTTTAAAGGAACTAACAAGCCTTCTGATTCATGCTATTTGTCCTGAAAATTGTAAAAATGTATTTTAAAGTATAATGAAGTGAAATGAACAAATGATTTATACATCTCAAACATCACTTGCAATCAATGCAAATTCTTCCTCTATGTTTCTCTTTATGGAACTCATTCCTGCGGAACGTACTTTCACTGATTACAAAATCATCCCGTATATGTACCAACGTAGCAAAAAAGAATGTCAACTATGTTCCTCTTTTAAAAAGTAGATTTATTGTGAATATATATATGTAGATGCAATACTCAACAAGAACAAAAATACTGAAGGTATCCAAAACAAAAATATGGTACATATATATATATGCGTTGAGATTAAAATAAATAATGAATCATTTGTAATATGGCATTTTACACAATGAACACAAAGAAAACATAAAAAGACACATTTAGGTATGCCGCAATTCTATCGATGATTGCCATAAGGATATTTGCGGCTGATATATTGAGCAAATGATACAATTAGTTATTGGAGCACCGATAATTTTTGACAGCAGTCAAGGACAATAACGTTAAGCAAATTCATTGCAGATTTGCAATATTTCAGATAGTATTAAAATACATGATATGATCTTTTATGAAATCATACACAATATTGTGGTGCATGTCTTACTTATCGTTATTCAGCTATACCGTCGATTCTTTTGTTCTTTGCTCATCACAGCAAAATTAGAAATAATAGGTTACAGTTTAGTTGAAAGTCCTACGATAGGTTTGAAACATAAACTATATTACTTTTACAATCTTTTATAAGTCAGAATAAAATTGCCGTATACATCATCTTTTTTCTTGTAAAATTGTGTAATTTATTAATTGTATATATGGACGTGACTTTTATAAAAATTATAATATATACACAAATTTCAATAGTAGTTAATGTTCATGTTTTACACCATGGATGAGTTTGTTTACAACAGTTCGTGGAAAGCAATTATAGGAAACAATTATCGTTAATTGCTGTGAATGACAGAATCAATTACCCTTCCCTTTGGTATCGTGAATAATTGCTGTTAACATAATGGTTTTAATTTTCATTTTTTCAATGACAGGGTAACCACGTGTCATTAAATGTTTAAATGTGAAAAAATAATAATAAACGCAAATATTTATATAATATGATACGAAACCTTGCTTATCTATCAAAAGATTTTATCATTATCTTTATTACTACTCTTATAATAATTATGAATATAATTATTACATATATTATTTTGAAACATTGAAAAAAAAGAGAAGAAACAAATGAAGACAAAGAAAATGAAACCGTTGTAAAAACAAAATTTTATAATTATTTTTACCACATACAAAACCATTCATTATCACGTTATATGAAAGATAAACACATTAAAAGCTTTGGAAAAACTCAATATGTTATTAAACAGTATACGAGGATGAATTAGATGACATCGATGTGGCAACAAATGCGTTTTTAATCCATGTAATACAAGGCACATGACGTAAACACGCTTTCCGAAAGTCATTGTGTCGAACCACGTAAATTAACGGATTCCAAATAATTGACGATTTTGCCATCAAAGTTGGTATCATTATAACAGACACAGGAACGTCTTCTAGCTTTCCAAATATCACAATGATTGTTACAATAGAATATGGTGTCCAACTTAAAAAGAACGCACCTGCAAAATGGAAGGTATTTGATAATATATGATTTTTTAAAACATTTAAAATGTTTGTTTTCTTTCTAACTTTAACATGAAGTTAAGAAAAATGCTTATGCAAAAATAAGTACAATTTCCCATATTAAAGGCGACATAAATGTATTTTAGATACTAACAATAACGATATTTTATTATAATCAAAACTCTCAATTCACTTAATTTTTACATTGCAATTTGAAAACAGTGCTTTATTCTATTGTCCGAAGCAAACATTTAGAAGAAAATATGTCATATACATGATGTTAAAATCGAAACTTTATTTTTGTTTCTTACAAATTTTCTTTACAAAATGTAAAAACTTAATATATCATCTTCAGCTGTTTTTCTTAATAATTTCTCATGGTTTGATAATTTTGTATTATAAAATATTCTTACCAATCATGAGAAGAACTGTTATGGCAACACGTTGCTCTCGACGTCTGTGTTTCCCAGTCTTTCCTTTTCTCATAGATGCCCTTAGCGGTTTTTCTCTCTCCCGGTATATCTACAGGTAGAAAAATACAAGAATGACATTAAGACGTTAATCAACATTCCGTTACGCTTAGTTAAATATTAAAACATTCAACGATATAATGTATACACGATGCTTTTCAGTCTGATTGCGTTGGGAGCTTTAAGTTTGCAAACACAATTTTCAATCCGTTCCTTTATATAACAAGTTCTATAATTATTGCTAAGTTTTTTTGCTCGCCCCTGCCCGAAATTTTAACCCACGAAGGTGGTGGTAAAAGAAAAGCAGACCCTCTTAAGGACGCCCAAAAACAGCAAAATGCTGCAGACTCTGTTTGATTGAGCACGTTCTTGGACGGTACTGGAAAGTTTCAGTCCAGCCCCCAACCGCCCCCCCCCCCAAACCAGAGCTCATCATTTAAACACAAAAATGGTAAACTTTTGAATTAAGTAACATCGGCAGATGTGTTCATACGGCGGTTGTAATGTAATCTTTAATTGGATTCTTTCTTGCCATTCTGTGAAAAGCGAAGTATGACCCCATTGGTAGCAAAACGTAAATAATAAGATTTACGGTCCATATTACGCGACAGAATTATAAGTTTTATAAAATGTCAAAGCATTAATTATTTCAAAGTGATCACCAGCATTGCGACACATAAGACATTATTGATGTATTGGCGGCAAGATATCAAACTTTATCCTAAATGTATTGGTTAGAAATTTTCCAGTGTTTCTATTTAAACAACCGACTACTTCAAAATCCGGTCCCGAGCTTTACAGACAAGGCGCATTTTATCGGATGTCAATACTAGGCAAAAAATACACACAACGGACAATAACTTCACGTTTGAAATGAAGAAAATATTTAAGCAAATGATAATAAAGCTATATTATGCATTTAAAAAAAATAGTTTGTTTTGATTCATATCTTAAATGCCGCAAGATTACTTCAATGAATGCAGGAAACCGATACATAAAGATTTAATTTGTCACAAGAATTATGAATATATTTTTTTTAAATATTCAAAACTTACGTAATGATATGTTTGAATTCGTTGTATAAAATAACAAGAACAAGCAACTGATTTGAAATTGTGCACACAAGTCTTTATTCCAGATATAAAAAAGATCTTATATAAATTTAAAAAAGTAAACATAGAAAAAACAGACATCAAAAAAAGAGATCTAAGACCAATATGTTACTTACAATTATAAAAATACTATATAGAAACAATTATTCTTTTATCAAATTGGAGAAAGAAAAGAAAGTAAAAATCACATACCAAAGTACATATTGCTCCATAGCAAAAGAGGATTATTCCAAGGGGCACAACCCATGCCAACACTAATATTGATAATGAGTATGACAGGTCTAGAGGACGCTTGCTTCTCCAGTTTATGGCACACCTCAATCGAATTCCCTCCAATTGATACGAGCTCCACCCAACAGCTAAAATGTAAAAAAACAACGTTTCTAGTTGTATTGGTTTCATAATCCAGTTCTAAAATGATGTTTTCATTTAATGTAGACCTGGCTCAGTGTTATATATTTTGTTTAATCTTGACTCAAATTTCTGGATTTTCATTGGTCACTGTACATTCTTTGTGGGTTTCTGACCAACTAAATACGTTAGAACCGAGTTTGCGCTCGAAGAAATTTATTACAGATAAGACAGTCATAAAAAATTAGTTCAAAAGAAAAGAGAATTTTCCATCTTCAAACTTATTTATTCTTATAATTTCTTATCATTTCAACTATATATTTTAAGGGGAAAGGAAAGAGAAAAAATATAATCAATTAAATACGAATAACATCTATTGGTTAGTTGGTAGTCATTATTTGAATACCTGGAAATAGTGCCCAAAGAAATCCGTAACCGTAGCAACATATGACCATAGTGACAGCTTTACTCATGCCAATAGTAAAATGTGAAGGGCGTACAATGACAAGGTATCTGTCGAGCGCTATTGTTGCCAATAAGGATATCTGTGTAATGCCTAGTAAGGTTGTTGTAAACCCGTAGTACACACATCCTGAAATGAAATTGATAATTAAAATAAATACTTCACCAAAATACGATAAAATCAAAGTAAATGTTACTTATAAATTAAATGTTCGATTGACTGCGTATTTAAGAAATAGTTTAAATCATTAAAACAATGCCTTACATCTAAGAAATCATTATTCTAGTAGTCATCAATTGATTTTGAAGCACATTCAGCAATGTAGATATATGTCCTTTATTCACCTCCCTTGATATTTGACATGTCTAGGCCGACCTTGTGCTTATCTTTAGGGATATTCAGTGGTTAATAAAATGGCAAGATAAAGGAAATATTTTGAAAAGACGCTAATTCTTACTCATACGAATATAATTTAAACGAATATAATTTAAACTTAACATTTATAGTCGGAAATGTCTTGAGACACAGAAAAAATTTAAAACAAAATTATATAAGAAAAGGTTGGTTGAAATTGTGGCACAATGCTTCTATCTAATGTTTGTTGGTATTTTTAGTATCAAGGTAGAGGCATATAGTAACGTTTTCTTAATCATTCGGTTGCGCCTGCAATTGATCTATATTTACATAAATCACGTGTTTATATGTGTGTATTTGTTTGTAATATAAGACAAATACGTCTCACATCAGTTGTTAAAAAAATTACTTTTCAATCACTCCTACAGAATATTGATATATATCTTCTTTTTTTGCTTGATTGAGTATTGCATTTTCTTGATAGGGATTGAATTTTTGACAGATATGTGCGAAATTAATTAGTTTTTTTTACCTTACCCTTCTTTTATGTCTAACAAATATACTATCTAAAGGGTAAAAGGATTGATTTCAAAGTAAACAAATACAATGTGACTTTTCTTCTTGTCAATTAATGTTTTTTTAGAACCAAAAAGCATATGTGGAAAGATGAACTAATTAAGAAACCGCGGTGTTCAAGGGGAACCCACGAAAATGCAAGTCACAACTTTGCAGTACTCTCCTCCTGCAGGATGCAAGGCGAAAACACGAAAATACGAAAAATTTGATACTTTGTCGTGTTTTCGTCTGGCGCCCCCACAAAGTAGCTATTATAATAAATATTTGATTATAAGGTTAATTAAACCGTATTCAAGTGAGGAATACTAGAATCACCTAACTAAAATAGAAGCCGAATTAAAAGAACTAGAAATAATATAACTAACACAACAATAATGTCGTGCTGAACAATCTTAAAGGATTGGAAATATAACATCCCTAATTGAAGGAACTGGGTTATATTTAATAAAAGAAACTTATAGATAAAAAAAAACAGGGCATTGGCTTTAAATAGTTATCATTGATTCGGAGGCCAATTTGTTATCATACTATTTTGTTTGATACAAAAAGCACAGAATTGAAACCATTTGTATAAAAATTTTGTATTTCAATAATTCAAAAGAGACACTTTTCAATAAGAACATGGTTTGTTTTAAAACAACTGTCATTGTTTCTGAGGCCAATTTTATTGTTAACACATTGAGACTGTATGCAATTGAAAACCTACCAGAGTATCCAAAAATCCATCGGTGATGTGCGGAGGACACTATTACCATCCAAGTGCTTGATAGGCACATGCAAACGTCCCCCAAAGCCAGTCCAACGATAAAAATATTGTGAGATCTTCTTAAGCACTTTTCCTTTACAAAAACGTATAAAGTTATAGAGTTTTGACTAAGTCCGAGTACAAGAATTAACGAAATATATACAGAATATATTATATATAAAAAATCTGGTACTTGGTGGAAAGGTGTTGCAACATTTTGTTCTAGATTACCACAACAAGTCGCCGTAAAATTGTTTGCAAAATCACTCTCAGAACTGTAAATACCCGCCCTGGTATCAAGCCAAACTATATCATTGGGGCCGGTGAAAATATCAGTTTGTTCACTTAACTTTGTTCGTATTATTTCATTGTCGATGAACTGTTTTAAAACATTTCTGTTGTCAATAGGCCTTACAGTTAAACTTTCAACTTTAACTGAGATAGGTGTTATGCTACCCATGACATTCGCCATACCCGTAAGTATATATATATATTCCCTAAAATATACTTGCAATCAAATAATCAACTATTTTGTGTTGTTCTCTTTCATTTAAAATAACTGTTAAGTTTATCAACTTTTTAAAATTTTTATAATCCTTTAAAATCTCATTTATCCTTGAAGATTCTTTCACCAGACATCAAATCAGAAATCAATTACAATTCTGTTATTTCCTTGTAATATTGACATGTAGCAGAATCAATTGAGCGTTGTGAATGTGACAGCAGCTGTATATATAGTATCTATAATTCAACCAGGCAAACACATTCCATTGGCTGAATAGATGACATTTAACATCTCATACGATTTGATGTCCTCTCTCCGTTTCTGTGAAATGTTCTAGGTTATGCGTAAAAAGGCTTCCAATTTCCAATAAGTAGTTTACGATTTACTATTATATGAACACGATAGCTCTGGTTATATAAGGAATTCACGTCTGTATCTGGTATCGTATCACTTTGTTCACTCAATAACCTGCGGTATTAAATGGATATTTGATTTAGTTTTATTGCTTATAGCTTATCAGTTGAAAAAGTAATATTCGATATAGATGACAAATATGTCTGGCCTACAATTGTTGTATAAATTGCCATACATTGTTTGCATTAATTGCTTTAACATTACGTTATATAAAATTGTTACAACAACAACAACAATAACAACAATAAGAATAACAAGAATAATAATATAAATAACAATAACAATAACAATGATAAAAGTAATAAATTTGGCAGCAGAAACAAGAAAGTTGCCATAAGAACATGGGCATTAACATTTAATTCGCTGGAAATCTTCTGCCTAGTATTTTTCTATTAGCTTTCTGGCTGCAACTGAGTTAATCCATTCAATAAGTGCAGGCCGAGATCAACCGGCAAATCCGTGCTGTTTGACAATGGTCTATTCAGTCAGTACTGATTTTGATAGTTTCTTTAAAATGATAAAAAAAGTTTTGTCAAAAGATACACATATCCATTTCAGAAATTTGGCTTGTAGAATTGATTCTTGTTGTTGAATAGTTTGTTTGGCCGTTGAAAGACAAGTTTTTTCCCGAAACCGTATCTCATTTGGGTTTTAGGTGCAGTTTAATTTCATTAATTTCCTATAAAATCTCTCTCACGAGTTTTGGACATATTTCTGAGACTTCAATTTTTGTTGGATTTAATTAAGCCGTCTACTTCTTGAACGTCTACTGCAAAATTAATATGTTATTAATTGATATAATGAATTTTCTATTGGTAAGTCAGACTCTTAAATTGATTTCTTTAATAGATTTTTTTTGTAATAATCTTAAATAAGAAAGCCATCAAGCCATCTTCAGATAAGAAGGTGCATTTTTTTCTACACCTAAAGACATTGCTCAATGCTTTCAACAAATTACTTCCATTCCTGTTTAGAAAAAGCAACAACTTCAAGCCAATTTCGAAATTAAATAACATATTAGCCGCGTCACGAAAAAAAAAACCCACAACATAGTGCGTTTACGATCAGCATGGGTTCAGACAAGCCTGCGCATCCGTGCAGTCTGATCAGGATCTATGCTGTTCGCTAAATAACTCTATAACAAGTAGAGAAACTGATAGCGAACAGCATTGATCCTGATCAGACTGCGCGGACGCGGACGCACAGTCTGGTCTGGATTCATGCTGGTTACAAGCACATTATGTTGGTTTTGTCGTGACGCGGCTCATATGTTTATTTTTAGTGATAAACATATGAATTGGACTAAACTAAAGGAAGATAGCAAAACGTATAATTATTATTTCGTCGAAAAGACAAACATCAAAATAGCAAGAATCAAATTACAACATTCTGGTTTTGCAATTTTGAATTTCTATTGCGACGTTTACAGTTTATTGTTTTCCCCTTATCACGCAGTAACACATGAGGTCTACAAAACACAACTAGAGTATAACGTGCTGTAAAAACCTCAATTCCTGACAAATAATTATATAAAGTCAGCTTAAGAAACACGTAAGATCTTTTCACAAGTTATTACAAATAATATTGTATTGCCTTTGCATTCACGGTGATATCTCACGTAATATTAATTAAAACTTTATTTCCCTGTAGAGCAAGGTCAGAAAGTAAATATTATTTATTGTTGAATAAGCCAAGAGACACCGCATTCCCTGAAAATGGTTTTGTGAGAAATGAATTAAAATATTTAACCTGATTAGTGTTAATGTAATATAAAGATTGAGATAAAAAGTATTGTTGCTAAAATAATATTATCTCAATATAGGTCAAGGATGTATTCTTTATATTTGTTTTTCACTAGTCATTTATAAAAATGACAAACCTTCATGCAAGTGAGAAAAGTAAATCTGTAGATAATAATTTATTGTTTACAAAATGTAGTAATATTCAAGATCCGATGGAAGCGTGTTCCATTAAACCCAAATGACTTGTTCTTAAGCAAGATGTTTTAAAATTTGGTATGTTAAGCATAAACTGGATGTTGAGCATTCTAAGCGAAATTAACTACTTATTTCACGTTCATAAAATGTTTCATATCAAACTAAATAACTTTTAATCTAAAACCATAATGCCTTTCCTCCAAGGGAATGAGTGGAAAATTAATATGAATCTATAGTATAACACATTTAAAATAATGCATATCAGGTTTGAGGTATATGAAATATTTTTTTCTTTAATATTAACTTCCTTTTACACTTACCTTTGTACGATTTAAGACAAGAAAAATAATCGCGAAGAGTGCTTCTTTTCACACAACTGATTTATCAGTTATCTAATTAATAAATAATGTGTAAGATGTCTTCAATATAAGTTGATTTTGGTCATGATATCTGGTTGGAATTGTTTATGACAAAAGCCTGTTTGCTTAATCCTGTCTAGGAAGGGTTGTAAAACGTCATCAAAATGGACTTATTCTCATTTTCTTCAGATTTGGCACAGTAGAAAATAACGTAATGGGAGCTTTAGCATATAAATCATTTTATGCACAACTTAGATTTTGAATTTTTCAAGGATAATTGTCAGGTCTAAAAGTAGCTTATACGATGTTTCTTAATATATTTCTGAATGTGGAAAATACAGCAGTTATAACATAATGTCTGTCTTATATGTATATATATGGCTTATATAACGTTATTTAGACACAAAGACACACATTATCTTATAATTGATTAAATGAAGATTCACAAGAAAGTCCCTACTGAATGCCCAAAATGGCAAAATAAAAGAATAATGTTGCAGGTTTTACTCCCACCTTTTTATCATGTAAAAATCCACGCACATAACAATGCAGAGTTTGAAATATAGCCAATTTTAGTTTAAAAATTAAGTTGAAAATTTACCGTTTACTTTGCTGATTTCACACTGAAAGAGTATCATCTATAACTGCAAGTATTTGTAATTAAAACCTTTTTTTGGGATAATAAAATCATGGCTGTGGGAGACAAAATGTAGTAAAATAACACACATTTGAGAAAATAGGCTTGCTCCCCTTGGGTTGTGAATCCACGCAACATTTAAACTCTGTCTCCTCATTGAAAGTAAGAAATAACTGCATTTTGCATTTGATACATTATATCCATTGTGATACTGGGAAACAACTGCATACTATATGGTTTTCATTATTTCTTTTTATTTTATTTCAAATGTTCTAGACGTTTTGTATTGTACGTGCATTTCCGAATATAACGAAGCACTATTTTAAAACCATAGTTTTATAAAATACTAAATCATTATTGTATGATATCAATGAAATAAAAGTAATCTATAATTATCAATATGATACAGGATTATAATGAAATATATTTGATTTAAGTCTCTTATTTCAAATTATACAATTCAAAATAGAATCTTTATGAATTTCGGAAGGAAATATTAAATTAAAGAATCGCTTCGTTTTGTAACAACAACAGCAAAAAATATAACCATTTTTGTCTATTTCAGAAATTTAAGACAATCTTTTGAAAATTGAAAATATTGTTTGTCAAAAATCTACAAATATAAAAATAATAATGCTTTCAATTAAAAATCAATCTTTTACGGTTAATTTAAATAGCACCATACAAAAAAAACCCAAAGATTGTCATCAACTTCATATGCATTTAAAATTCATATGTATATACGTAAAAGAAACAAGTAGAATGCACGCACACACAATCATGCATCCATTTGCATACCGGCACACAGGAAAAAACAAAACGGTTTAGAAGTTTGTCTTAAAAGAAGAATATATCTTTTTATGAGAATGATATCTTCATCGATTTGATAAATTACTTGAGATTTTGATAATGAAAGCAATCAAGAACATTAAGAACTCAAATATATTACAGAAAAAGGGAACTTCATAACAAAAAGTAAAGCAATTAAAATGATACTACGAAATTAATATAATATTCTTTTGTGGAAAATCCCATGTAGAACCCACATTTTAATTAATACAACAATGAATCTATTTGTAAAAAATGTACATTCAGGGAAAATCATTTTGCATTCACTTGAGATTTATTTCTTATATTATTCCAGTTCAGTTCATGGTTGTATTTTTTATTTTCAATTTCAGGTTGGTTTTATTTTAGAATGTTGGCAAGTTAGGCAACCTTTTTACTCGTGTTTTAACCGGGATATGCTATACTTTATCAAAATTGATACAAATGCAATTATGCAAATACACTTCTTTTATTTTGACTGATTAAAAAATGTATTAGGAGTCAAGTATACATGTTTATCAGCTACTTCTTAGGGGGTTTTGGTGATGTTTTGTTACATTAAAATGCAAAAATCCCATTTTAGGAAAATCGTGTAATAATCAAGTAAATAAAATACATAAAATAATAAAATAAAGATAATTAAATGAATAAATAAATTAATAAATAAATAAATGAATATATTAATAAATAAATAAAAAAACAACAACAAATAAATAAATAAATAGATAAATAAATAAATAAATAAATAAATAAATTAACAAAAAACAAAAAAAAAACAAGGAAGCAAACAAATAAACAACTTTTTTCTGTTTTGAACTTTTCACCTTTGTAAGAAAGTTAACACTTCATTAGATAAAACT